GCAGATTTAGAAGATAGGAGTAGAAGAAATAATATACGAATTCACAACATACCTGAATCCCTTAAACCAAATGAACTTACCGACTATGTAAAGGGAGCCATACATTCGGTTCTACCAAATATAAGTGATACAGAAATTATTAAAACCTAACTCAGCACCAGCAGCAGATGCTCACTATACTCACAGATTAAAATACAATACATTACAAATAGAATTCTGCACTAACATACAGTGCATATGCAGTTGTCAAATTTAAATATGTTTTTTTGATTTTTTTTATGCCTACAATCAGGCCCAGACTGGCCATCAAATTCTTTGATCTCCCCTGCCAGACCACGCAGAGCCGGCCTTGCTGTCTGCCTTCTCATGCCGGTGGGGAGATAAAAGATCTCCCTCACCGGTCCTCTGGCAGTTCATTCAAGGAGAGTGAGGGAAGGAGCACCCGGGAGGCTGAATGTTCTTCCAACAAGCAGACAGTTTGGAGTGTTGATGTGCTTTTAAACAGCAGTGCTCCGACATAGTGTTGAGCTCATGAAAGGAGTGAACTCAGCCTGCAGCCGTAAAAGCTGAAGGCTAAACATTACTCACAACCAGCAGACCACCAGAGCTTGCACCACTACACACACTTCATTCCTTACACGCACTTCCTCTACACTGCGCCCATGCACATACTACATCCCTTATACACACACTCCACCACCTGCACACACATACACTACATATCGTATATATACACAAACGTGATCGCCTTTAGACACATATTGCACCACCTACAAACCCTACATTCCTGACATTCACACTATATCCCGTATACACAGTCTGGATTCCCTATGCATGCACACACTAGCTGCATTTCCAATACACACACTATACACACTCTCATCCTGTTAACCCCACATCTGTGTCTCTCCATCTGTTCAGCCCCATCTGTGTCTCTCTCATCCTGTTAACCTCACCTGTGTCTCTCTCGTAGCAAATTCAGCTTTTTCTCCTTATCTGAAGTCCCTCAAATAACCTATGGGCCTCAGTCCTACAACTGTATTATCATTTCAAGATAAGGTAATTGTAGGTGGAAACACATTCTTTTTAGGAGAATTTATATTTTAAGATAAATAAAGCTTGATCTAAGAAAAAACATAAGTTCAATTGAATAAGGCTATTTTAAAAATGCCAACTTTGTTCTTGCTCACAAGTGTTAGAGAAGTCTTTACCATGATGAGCTAAATACTTTCAAACTTGTTTGATATATGTTATAATACATACCTCACACCTAGTTTTTCTTTTACTATTTTCATACACAAGTGTCTTGTTGGAACCTAATTAGCGCACAGTGAGAAGGTGAAGTCCCCCACTTTTAAAATAGAGTAATTATACCGAAAATTAACGTTTTTATTTTTTGTCGGTTTTTAAATGTTTTTTTATTATATTTTAACTAGTTTTTTAATATAATATAAATTATATGCATGCCCAAAAATAAATAAACAAAATAGAACATAAAAAGTAAAGCACATGTGAGTTTAAAATTAGCTAATATAAAAAAAACATTATTGAAATTCCTAAGGTTAGACAGAGTGTGGACATTTTGAGCCCTACATATATAGATATACATGTTCCAAAGAAATGGCATTAACTAGACTTCTTGAATAACTCTTCATAGTGCCTTAATATCTGCGGAAGTAGTCCAGTGACTGCTTTCTTTTTTGGAACTTTTGACCCTGATGGTCACAGGTGTCTGCATCTAATGAACTACCTGGGAGCCCCACTGAACCACGTAATTGATTATTCCACCCATCCCTGCTCAAAATGTATGATATTGGTTATGATTTATGGATACAGACAAACAGCCTCTTTACACATTTTCCCCAAATCACCCCCACAGCCCCCTCAAGTCATCTCCATGGTTCCCTCTTAAATTCACACCCATACATTTTTTCTCTAAAGACACCCACACAGTTCTCCTACATCCCTGTAACCATCCCCAGTCATCCACCACATCCCCTCAGTCACCCACAAACAGTCACAAACAACAAACATCCTCATCATAAATGCAATGCACACATCAAGACCACAAGAAGCCCCAGTACGTACAATACACTGCAAACAGCTTCCCCACACACATATCAAAAGGACAAACAGATACACATGCTCACAGACACAGAGATAAATATTCACAGACACACCAATATTAACTTCAGAAACATTCACGGATTCACAGTCACACAGATGTATGTGTATGTGTATGTGTCTGACACTGTCTGTTAGTGAATGTGTGTGTTTGACACTGAGTGTATATGTGTCTCTCAGTGAGTGTGCGTCTGTCAGTGAATGCGTGTCTGTCAGTTAGTGTGTATGTGTGTCTATCGGTCAATGTGTATGTGAGTCTGTCAGTGAGTGTGTATGTGTATCTGTCAGTGAATGTGTGTGTCAGTTAGTGTGTCTATCGGTGAATTGTGTGTCTGTCGGTGAATGTAAGTGTCTGTCAGTGAGTGTGTATGTTTCAGTGAAAGTGTGTGTTGGTTAAACAGTGTGTGTGACGATGACTGTGTATCTGTCAGTGAGTGTATGTCAGTGTATGCATCAGTGAAGGTGTGTCAGTCATGCAAAGAGTGTTTTGGTTTTTAAAAGGAAGTGAAATTTAGAAAAGGGGGGGCCTGAGTTTTGTCATGCCGAGGGCAGCACAAAACCAGAATACACCACTGTATATATAGTACTATATATGGGAGAGAATCATAGAATATGTGGGGAAAATGTCAATGGTACATATGCAGAAATATTATTTATTTACAATACTGTTGTCTTATTTTCATATTTTCATAATAATCATTCAGAAAATCTCTCTTATATAATCAAACATGTCATTTTAGTTTCCATTACATAATGAGCTATCTATGCATATTGAAATGAAAAATACATTGATCATTATTACCCAGGACACCATAAAATACTGGGTGGTGGTATTTATTTATTTTTTGTTGTTTTCATTGCTTGGCATTGAAGAGGTTAAGGAGTTAAACCATAAATAACAATGCTTTATTATTTTACCTTTTTTTAATTTTTTTTATTATTGAATGCAGGTTAAAAATAAAACCATCCACATTGAAGTGGACCTGTTGCTTGTTAATCAAGTTATAGCTGCAGCACTTACCTCCCACCCATCCAATAAACACTTGAAGCAGTGTTATAGCTCCAGATTAAACAGTAAATACAAAGTAGCTATCATTGGCTGGGATACTATATCCCCTGAGTCCTATTTCTAGCATCCCTGCACAGCAGCTCAGCAGCCAAGGCCAATGAGGGATGTATCCAAGATGCAGCTCCTCCTGATGATTCTCCTCCCTTACTCAATGGGAATTCTTGAATGAACTCCAGAGGGGGTAACATCTAGAGTACCAGCCAACCCAGTGCTGCAGAGTGAGTGAGTCTTCAGCAGTCTGTTGCTATAGTGACTTCCAGGAGCAGCTTAGTCTGCTGTGTAGTAGTAACAAAGCCACACTTCTCAGATACTGTGTACTGCTGATGGAGACAACACAGGGAGAGAGGAGGAGGAGGATAGAAGCTGCTGTGAACAATTACCCAGCCATAGCCCAAGGTAAAGGAAAGGAAAGCAGCCTTCTACAATGCTTACAGCCATGACTGTTGAATGCCTGCCTGCTATGTGGTACTGCCTCATTGCTACCTGCTGAGGACAAGTTGTGCTTACTAGAATGTCAGCCCAATCTTGTCCCAACACTTATTTCTGCACCAGTGCATCAGAAGGATATGTCTCTGGTTGGGACCAGAAAGAAAATGTCATAGCTTTTTTAGATTTTCATTAATTGCTAATGTAACATTTGTGTATGTCTGTTAACTGGGGTTACATTCTCTATGGGAAAGTGTTATATTTCACCATTTCCTCCTAGTTTAACCCCTTAAGGACCAAACTTCTGGAATAAAAGGGAATCATGACATGTCACACATGTCATGTGTCCTTAAGGGGTTAATGTGTAAAGCATGCAAAGCGATCATGCACAGACTCTGTAGTACTTAATGGGATAAAAAAAATCGATTTAAAAAAAGAAAGTTGCAACATTGTAAGATAGCTGGTTTATTGGACACGTTGAATACAATCAGTGAGTTACAGCAGCTGTTGTGCTTAGTGTGATAAGGTGTCTGTCCTTAGTGTCTCATCAAATATAGCAAGAGGTGGTTATCACTGTGATTTTAGATAAAACGGAACAAAGGATGCTCTAGCATTCTGAAGAAACAATAAATAAAAGGAAAAAAACTCTACTAAACCGATAATTACAAAAATGCAGCAATAAAAAAAGACAAGTTAGCATGGTTTGTGATGGCAGAGAGATTCCATCCTATCTATGTTTAACTGGAATTGTCTGCACATAGCTGTCATTAATAAACCGTGTTTGGCGTCTGATCTTTCCAGGATTTAAAAGGTGCCTACAAATGATGTAATATGCATTGCTTTCTTGGAATTTTTGAAAGAAAAAAATAGTTTTTTTTTTTTTTTTAAATCTTTATTTAGTCATGACTGTGCATACAGAAATTTGCACATTACAGCAAAGGTTGCAGGGTCTATAGAAATGCATACATAATGTACAAGAGAGACACAACTGCTATGAACAGATATTTTTACAATTTCCACAAAAAGCTTAATAAAACAACAACCAAAAAAACAGGAAAAGTTCCAGAAAAGACAGGCTGCACAGGGCAAAACAGTTATATGCCCACTCAAGTAACAATCAGTTTTAAATATTTTTTTACTGTTTTAAAAAATGGAAAAAGTAGTTTGTTTTTGGCAAGTGGCATTTTAGTTGATTTAGCTTATTGTAACTGCCTCCACAATAACATTGGACATTACTTTATACACAACAAATGTGATGGATTTAATTGTGTTACCACACAGGTTAACACAGAAGCAGTTAGTTTGTAACTATCAGCTGTTGCTGATTGCAATAGTGCTGTGGCACTGGTAGCTATATGGTATCAAGCTAGCTTCTGATGAACTACAATTCCCATTTATGGTAGTTGAAAGGGATAATGGTAATTGCAATTCGGAGGCAGAGAATCAAGCTATGTACCACAAAGGATGATGAGAGTTGCAGTTCAACAACAAAATAAGTCCACGAGACCCATTTACCCTCAGTGTAACATGTGCAGAAAACTACCAATGGTTTCTATTTATTTAAAATGATCTGCCTGGAAGTTCAATAACATTTTTGGTGTCACATTGGCCATCAGTCATGGACTTAGCAATAAAGTTTTGGAATGTTCAATTTCACAAACTTTGAGTCACACAGAAGAACAGTATGTGGGTCCATGTTCAGGACTGTAGCAGGAGAGAGTTAATTGCCAGTCTAGTATGGCAGCTGTCAATCTAGTCTCCAGTCTGTAGTTCTGGAGGATTAATATAGATTATTTTATCATAGAATATTTTTTATTGTGGACACTCCATGGTTTTGTGACCTGTAGCACAATATTATGTACAATATTGCTGACTATACATCTACATCTACATCTTGCTGACTATAATCTATGTGACAGTTTGTTATACATGCATTCTGTGCTTATTATTATGATTATTTATAAAGTTCCAACAAATTCCGCACTGCTGCTTATAAGAATTTATGCTCCAATTGTCTTTATTTTATTCGTGTTGCATTGAAAATGTAGCCAACTTAATTATGTTTATTGTATGACTTGCTTTACTACAATAAAAAATGTATACTGAAAAATAAAATTGTGATAAGGTTCCACTATAACCATATTTTAATATTTTGAGTTACTGACCATTTCATTGCACAACGGAAATGCAGTAATGTATTCTTGGTAATGATCCTACAATGTAAGCATTAATGTGAATTGCAAAGAAACTAGGTTTATTAACCCATTGTTAGTTCTTCCTTTTAGTGTTATTTCCAAATATTTCTGAGAATATGAAATGCATGTTATGCTGTAGGTGTGGTGTATGTCTCTAAAGCTGGGCACACAAATCAAATATTGTAACCTTCTTTAAAAAAACTGGACTCACCATTAAAGGATCACTACAGTGTCAGGAAAACAAACCCTTTTTCCTGCCACTATAGTGCCCAAGGGTGTCCCCACCCTCAGGGTCCCCCTCCCTTGGCGCTGAAGGGGTTAAAACCCCTTCAGTTACTTACCTTAATGCAGCGCCGGGCTCCCTCGTCGTTGGTGACCTCTCTTCCCCCGTCGATGTCAGCTCCCGAGTGGAGCAGAATGCGCATGCGCGGCAAGTGCCGCGTGCGCATTCAAACAGTCCATAGGAAAGCATTTCTGAATGCTTTCCTATGGACGCTCTGCACGCTGATGCGAAAATCACACCAAGCGTCGCAGAAGCGCCTCTAGCGGCTGTCAGGAAGACCGCCACTAGAGGTTGGATTAACCCTGCTATGTTTACATCTGAAGGGTTAAAATCTGAGGAATCTGGCACCCAGACCACCCAATCAAAGGCTTTTTGTGCGTGCTCTGAGTTGGCAAAGGGAGGTAGAAGGAGAGAGGGCAGTGACTTTACAAAAATGCTGATGGGATTGGGAGATGGGAGGGCTTTTTGCAGTGTGAGAACAAGGAAAGGAGGGGAGATAAGGGCATGCAGTGTGCACTGATGATAGTCGCGTTTTATGCACAATATTGACATTAGGCTGTCGTATGTGTTGGGGGTGCAACTTGCCCCCAGCAGACAAGTGCAAATTACTCTGGATGTGCAGTGTTTCAAGCAGACAGTGCCGTGACAGTTCTGCTTTAATACTGGAACACATCAAAGTAACAAGATGAACCAGGGCCGGACTGGGAAAAAAATTCGGCCAGGGCATTTTTTATCACAGCGGCCCACTAAGAAGGGGCCGGGGCAGAGAGGGTGTGTTTTGTCATCACTAATGACAAACACGCCCCCTCTCAAAGTGAAGAGTATACTGGTGCCCCTAAGGGAACCAGTGGGTGTGTGTAGGGAACACAACAGGGTGATAAACTATAGAGCGCATGATCACAAATGTGTGATAAACTATAGAGCGCATGATCCCTGGAGGGAAAGAACAACCGCCAGCGGTCACAGAAATGGTCCCTATGGGATCTGTGTTATAATTTGCAATTCTGTAGTCTGATTAAAAAATAACTTTTATTAGAATTCCAATCCTAAAAACTGAAAGGGAGACAATAACGTGTCATCTATTGTGTGTGTGATAGAAACAATGACATCTAGCAATTGTTAGTAGATGAACTAAAGCTACAAATGGATAGGTGCCTAAGTCAAACGCTGTGGGCGTTTAGACTGTGAAAAATAAAAATAGGGGCTAACCTATCCAAATCAACCGTGGCTTCTTCTAGGGGAACTTGGGTAAACAATTGCTCATTCACTGACAGCAATTATATTAAAGGGAATGCTCAAAATCTGTGCAATAAGAAAGGACTATTGAATATGTACAATATATACAGCAAAAGTGGGCTCAGAGGTAGCTTTGACAACCTGATCTGGGGACTGTAAAAAGTGTACCCCGTAGTCCAATTGTGGATATAATTGTGGATTGTGTGTGAGAGTGCTGTGTGATGTGTGTGAGAGTGTTGTGTGTGAGGGTGCTGGGGGTGATGTGTGTGAGAGTGCTGAGTGTGATAGTGCTGTGTGTGAGTGCTGTGTGTGATGTGTGTGAGGGTGCTGGGGGTGATGTGTGTGAGAGTGCTGAGTGTGCTGTTTGTGACAGTTCTGTGTGTGATGTGTGTGAGAGTGCTGAGTGTGTTGTGTTTGAGAGTGCTGTGTGTGATGTGTGTGAGGGTGATGTGTGTGAGAGTACTGAGTGTGATGTGTGTGAGGGTGCTGGGGGTGAATGTTAGAATGGATTGTGTGTTCGGGGGGGTATAAATAAACAAATAAAAACACTAAGCAGGCATTACATCCCCCCCCTCCCTTCTTACCTTTAGCCTAGGAGGGGGGGACCGGCACGGAGGTAGCCAAGGAGGGGGGGGGGGACTGGCACTCTGACATCATCCCTGATGGTCTTAGTGGTGAGTAAGTGAACTCTAGCCTGCGGGTTAGAGTTCACTCTCGCGAGATCGGGGCGTTGCCATGGCAACTCTACGGATCTCGGGAGAGGAACCCGGCAGAGCTGCAAGATAGTGTTCCGCCGGGTCCTCCTCTCCCTCACCAGCTGCATGTTTTGCAAGTGAGCCAGTGAGGGAGATCTTTGATCTCCCCACCGGCCTGCCGTGGCAAACAGCGGGGCCAGCGTTTGGATAGTGCCGGCCCTACATAGACCAGCAGGGGATGTCCTGTAACCTCCCCTGCCGGCCTTGGCCCATGGCCACCGCGGCCCACCGGGCATTTGCCCGGTGTGCCTGATGGCCAGTCCGGGCCTGAGATGAACTGTTAAAGGGACACTATAGGCACCCACAACACTTCATGTCATTGAAGTTGTGTGGTTGCAATGTCTCTTTTCTCTTAACCCTGCAATTTAAAATGTTGCAGATTTAGAGAAACTACCAGACAGACACTAGTCGCTTCCTGCAGTTTCACAGATTTGAATTCTGTGAGATGCTGGACTTTCTCAGGCTGTGCATGAGGGCGTCCAGCATTTGCAAAATCCACACAGAAAAGCAACTGAGTCAATGCTTTCCTATTTGGAAAGCCTAATGCCTGCCCCCCTATCGGCTGAAGTCAGCAGAGGAGGAGCCCTACCAAGCGCCAAGGGATCAATGTGTAACCGAACAGACATGATTTATTTTTGAAATCGGTAACTGTAAATATGTCAAAATATTAGGAGACATTTTACTGATTCGGATTGATCACACAGCTATTTTAGATAGACAGGATTATTCACTAATTTTATTATTCTAGAGAATTAAATCTGGATGGTAAAACTCGGGTTGAAGTAGCCAGCCTGTGACTATTGCAAGCTGGAGTTTTTTTTCCAAATCAGAAATGGTAACCTTCATTTTGCAATTCAGATTTAATTTGCCAAAGTCTATTTGTCCTCTACAGATATTGTGTGTGTGTATATATATATATATATATATATATATATATATATATATACTATAATTATATATAGACAATGTATATAGATTGTAAGAATAATGAAACACTGAGTTGTCTAAGCTGCTATTGAAGCAGCAACGTTGAGGTTTGACAAGGCAAATGCCAATGAGTAATGTCACACATATTTTTTCTTTATAATCTGAGTAGATCTAAAGCAGTGCAGGTAACTAAGGCACTTAATTTTGAAATGTGTTGGCTTGACATTTTTTGGCTTAAATTTTAAATTTACTTTGAATTCTCATGTTAGTGAATTATCACGTATGTTTTAACATTGGAATTGGCTGCAAGAAAATGTCAAATAAAAGAAATGATTGCTACAATACCAGGACCCAAATGGGTGTGTTTATTTACTTCACAAACATTTCAAAAAGTTAGATATTATCTATCTAGAAAATGGCACTTTTTGTCACCGTTTATTTAGATTTTTTTTCCATTGCATGCTATTTTCTGCAGGTATCACAATTGCTTTTTCTTACTACAGCAACAACCACAGTACACATCAGCTCCCATACATACAGTAAAAACCAAAGAAAAAGTTACCTGCGCTCTCTCCTAAATCCCTATGTAAATTTAAACAAATGGAGGTCATTTAGTTACTACAATGGCCATTGGAGGGAATGCCCGCCTGCTTTTTATTATCCTGACAGATCATCGGGCTATGCAATAATGACCAATCATCAGTATGTCATAAGGATGAATGTTTTATGGTTAAAAAAGCTGACTAAAATGGCAAGATGACATTATTCCAGTAATCTGAATAGAGGAGCAGGAATTTATTCTGAGGGCCCAGCTGTATGTCTCTGTGACAAGTACATACAAATAGGTACAAATACAGTGTTAAGAAAGCATCTCCTTTGTTGAAATATCTATACTTCCAGTATAATTTTTTGGAGTTCATGTATTATTATATAGCGCCAGCAAATTCCATAGCGCTGTACAATGTATCAAACTTTCTACCTGGTTTATTGTGACAATACATTTAATGTAAAAATAAAGTTATTTTATAGCAAACTACATTGATGTAAAATTGCAGTGTGTGATTGTAGTTTAATTTCCCCATGTGCCATGACTTCTCTATCTTACTTTTTTCTCGCGCAGTCTGTCTATCCACAGGGATTCCGACTCCTATTAGTGATTGGTTTATAATGAGCTGGCAAATATCTAGGGAGATGTGAAACTGTTGTGCAATCTTG